GACTCTGGTGTATCAAGCCAGTATCCCGACCCCTGTATCCCCTGTATCACAGCCCTCCCTCCCTTTCCCTCTACCCTCCGTCCCTTTTCCCCTGCCCTCCATTCCTTTCCCCCTGCCCTCCCTTTCTTTCCCCCTGCCCTCCCTTTCTTTCCCCCTGCCCTCCCTTTCTTTCCCCCTGCCATCTCTTCCTTCCTCCTGCCATCATTCTTTGCACACTCCATCGTCCCTGTCCTTCCTCGTTTTTTTCCATGAGGAAAATGGGTGTGATGGTGGTGGTAGCCGGAGCAACAAGAGAATAAGAGGCAAAAGAGAGAGAGAGAGAGAGAGAGTCTGAACATTATTTTCCTGTCATAATAACGTATTTCCTATTCGTTGTTGAATCAAGATTTCCAGTAAGTTTTCCCTTTATCTCCTACACTTTTGGTCTTTCGCCTGTCTGAAACCCTCACACACACGAGTCAGGGCACCGTGTCTGGCCAGGAACTGGTCTCGTGCTTCGTACTTACCTTCGTTCTTCCTCATATTTTATTTGAACTTCGTGAGGTGCTGATTTCATACCAGCGCTTCGTATTCTAGAACGGGTCTGACGTAGGTTGTGCCCATTTTCTTGACACGTTAATCAAGTTTAAATATCGTTCTTCTGGTTTGTTTGATTCCCCCCATGTACTGCCCATGTTTTCATGGTTTATGTGTTTCTGGTGATAATACTGAAACTATATACATTTCCAAGTCTTTTTGTCCAATATCACCTTCACCGCTGCTCTTCTAATTAAGCATACCTGTTGCTTGTCACTGTCGCTATCACTGTTATTTCCTCCACATTTCTTGCAGCTGTAGCACACAGGATTCACGAAGCCTCAGGTCGTGCCATGCCTGACTCCGGAGCACTCCTGGGAAGATCAAATCCTATTTCGTTCGTCAATAGGTTTTTCCTATTTCCTGTTTCTTTTTCCCAGCACCGATCTTGGTATTTCCACGTTGTATTTGTAATTTTGTCTGCGCTAGTGTATAGAGGTTGAGTTGTTGTGGGGGGAGGTGGGGGGGGGTGTTTATACCTGGGTGGTTGTTATAGAGGCTCTGTGGCTTCTTTCTCACTGGCGAGAGGATTCGTCTCTTGTTAAAACGTGAGGGGGAGACCTCATAGCCTGCCTCACTGAGTGCCTCATAGCTCGTCTCACCCAGCGCCTCACCGCCTGCCTCACCCAGCGCCTCACCAAACGTCTCACTTCTCTCCAGTGGGTTCCTTTTAACACTGTGCCATTCGTCTCTGCCACAGATGAAATTATCTCATTCGTCTCCCGTCGTAGTTGATACTCGTTCTTCTCCCGTTTGCTGCGTTCAATACTCCGTTCAGTGTTTCCAGTCGTCGTACGGTCTGTTTGTGTTTCTTCGTTTAAAATGTGTTTCGTTTCTGTTGCTGGAACAGTGTTTACCCCCCTCCCCCCCACACCCCGTGTAACAGAAGGGGTGGTCGTCCCAGGCTATTATTAATATTATTATTTCTTTACACGTTACATTAGTTAATATGATTATTACAAGTTAATATGATTATTACAAGTTAATATGATTATTACAAGTTAATATGATTATTACAAGGGCAGTACACCTTTTTCCTCCAAGTTTCCTGTAGCAGTGCTTATCTACTTGCAGTAGTGCTTATCTACTTGCAATAGTGCTTATCTACTTGTAGATCTTGTAGTAGATCTACTTAATCTATTTAATCTACTACAATAGATCATTTCTGTCTGATCTATTCGCAGTGACAGTATTGATGGTCAAACTTTTAAATAAAAATTATATATAACAATATAAATAACAATAATGCCATTAGTAGTAGTAGAAAAAAAATTATTTCTAAATATCAACATCGGTAAAATATATTTGCTTCAGGTTTAGAATGCAAGAGTTTTAGGAGTTTTCTTGGCATTTTTTTTTTTTTACAGTTGAAGTCTTTCTAGTTAAGCAGCGTCTTCAAATCCCCCAGATGGTCTTTACAGGAGTTTCTCACAGAAGCTCGTCTCTGATTGGCCATTCTTTCGCCAACTGGCCGCTAATTCCTTGCCTCCGTCCAGAGACATTCACATTCCTCGATCTTAACATTTTCGAGGAAGATTGCGAACATTCCCTCAGTACTTCCTTAGTATATGTTTCAAAATAATAATGTAATGGGCGATATATATATATATATATATATATATATATATATATATATATATATATATATATATATATATATATATATATACTGCTGACTATGATGGGAATATATCTCTCTCCAACACTTCTACAAATCAACGATAGACCTATTGCCTAGTATGTGTGTGTGTGTGTGTGTGTGTATGTGTGTGTGTGTGTGTGTTGTGTGTGTGTGTGTGTGTGTGTGTGTGTGTGTGTGTGTGTGTGTGTGTGTGTGTGTGTGTGTGTGTGTGTGTGTGTGTGTGCTAGTATACACGTGCTTCCTGGTCTGTTTTAATCAGGAAAGTGAGGCTTCAGTTTGAACCCGTGAATGTAATCACACAGATGGATGAACACTTGCTGCTTCAGTGAGTTGCAGAGATGACCTAAAACAAGTTCATTACAACAGCCCGACACTCTGAATAGGGTCAAGGGTTGAAATCATGATCAGTGCCAAAGAGAAGGAACGTCAGTGTTGTTGCCGCATGTTGAAATACACCTGACAGGAAAATAGGAGTTAGTCACATGTTTGTACACATCTGTCGTGAGACACGAAGACCATTACGTATAAGACCCGGAAAAATACAGCAACATTTCATACAAGTAATTAAGAATGTTACAAAATCTCATTCAACAGCGTCTTAAGAAATAATGAGGCATTTTTAAATTATTATACTTTCATACTTCTTTTAAACTGGGGAAAAAAATTGAAACAACTATTACGAATTAACCACAGCTTTTTTTTGCCGATCATTGACTCAAATAACACAAACAAAAGACTTGATAACAAGATCCAAACTTGAAATATTAAAATATCCTGGAAAAATAGTCAGCTATGTGTAGTTTTATTCGGCTGCTCGTTAGCGGTAAAAGCGCTTGGCTGTTCATCTTCCTTGGTCGACTGCTCAAGCGGAAGCACATTAATTTTCCACACGAGGGGACGTCCAGTGGAGGTTTGGCCTCTTTTACCCGGTTCCTGTTGGCGTGTGTCGCCTGGTGACCCTGCTGGGGTGTGTGTGTGCC